TTGTAAAAATCGACGTGTTTCAGAAAGGCGGGGCATAGAGGAGAAACAATAATGTACAGTATGTGGAAAATAATGTGTTTTTTGAACCTTAAACCGCATAAACACATTTCATTACACCAAATACACAACATAATGTTCTTTTTTAGCAACGTCATAAGCTTTTTCTTGAAACAGCTACTCTAGTAATCCAAACATGAATCAGCACCATTTAGCTGCACATACTCCATCACATCTTCACCATATTAAATATATCTAATCAAATAAGCACTGATACAACGCATTATGCAAATAATGTTTCATAAAACTAAAGTCATACCATTCTGTTTTTGCATCAAATTTCAAAATTATAGTGTCTAATTTAGATGAAAAACTGCTCATGCTCCATGTACGCAGCATCTTTGTTTGGATCGTGATTAAAATAATGGTTGCCTCCAATTTTAAATGGAAAGAGCACAGACAAAGCCTTAGTTTGTTTATATGAAGAGATTTCTTTGATTTGTGTTATTTATTTATCTGATTTGGGGTTAAATTCCAATTTAGTTTTGTTATTTGACATATTTCTATTTCACAAAGAACTGTGCAGCATTTTGTCCAAGCAATAGGGTAATAAAAGGACATCTTGTCCTAAATCTCATTATCTGAGTGAATCGTTACATCCATAATAACTATGCCTTCATTCTTCCTGCTCAAGTGTATTAAACTGATGGGTGTAATTTGTTCAGAGCCCACAGTGCTCATGTCAGAAATCGTTTTGTTGTTTGATATTGTCTTTTGTTTTCTGACTAGAGATGAACAGCCCTGAAATGCTCATTTGAATTGTTTCAATATATGGCAAATGAACATGAATGATGACTCATTCGTGAACATCTCCTTCTGAAGACAGAAAGTCATACAGGTTTGGAATGACATGTGGGTGAGTATATTTATTTATGTGTGACCTATTTCTTACATGAAACATGTATTTCTTTGTCAAGCAATCTTTGTAACTGCATGAAAAGTGCTTGATAAATAAAGTTTATTACCGTTCACGAGTAGGTGTCACTACACACACACTGACATACCTGTGCGCAGCAGAACCTCAGGTGCGATGTAATTGGGAGTGCCCACCAATGAGTGTGCCAAGCAGCGCTGATGTTGTCTAGCGGCTCTGCGCTCCAGTGGCTTCAGTCGGTCTCCACAGCGACAATTAGCACTATCCTCCCATTCCTTACTGAAGTCCATACTGTCCTGACGCACGTGATCACCTGACAGGACACAGATACAGAAAGTTCAACATCTTAGACTGGTGGAACCAAAGCCCTTTACCAATTCTTCAATGTTTCATTCAACAATATATTCAGGATCCATAAATATTAACGTGAAAAGTGACCATTTCGTCAGAATGGAGTCAGACCTGAATGTGATTTTTCCCCACCAGAACTCACTTTTAAGGAAGCTTTTTGACCAGGACAGAGTATTCCAATGGTGACGCTTCTTTTTCAAATCTTTCATTTTTTGCTATTGTAATTTATTTGTAAACTTCATAACATTAATGTAATAAACATTAATATTAATGTGTGTACTGTATTGACATACTGCGTTAACTACTGGCATGATTTTATAAAGTAGCTATAATAGCACAAAATAATGGGGTCAATTTATCAAAAATGTGCAATGGTCTTTGAGCTGATAGGCTCACCGCTTTGGTAGTATTTGGAGTCGTGAGTCCATCGGAAGCCAGTGCACAGGCCAAAGTCTGTCAGTTTAATGTGTCCATCACGATCAATTAGGATGTTGTCAGGTTTGATGTCTCGATGGATAAAACCCATTTTGTGGACACTTTCCACAGCACAGGTGAGCTCGGCGATGTAAAATTGAGCCAAGTCCTCTTGGAAAATGCCCATTCTGATCAAAAGACTCATCATGTCCCCACCAGGGATGTAGTCCATGACAAAATACAAGTTATCTTTATCCTGAAACGAGTAGTACAACCTTACAACCCACTCATTATCAGCTTCAGCGAGAATATCCCGCTCAGCTTTCACATGGGCCACCTGGTTCCGCAACAGTACATCTTTTTTACGGAGGGTCTTCATGGCATACAGTGCTCCCGTGTCCACTTTCCGAGCCAAACACACTTCTCCAAACGCCCCGATTCCCAAAGTCTTGATCTTTTCAAACATGGATTTGTCCATTTTGGCGCGCTTGAGGCGGATGTAGTTGGATTCTTTCTGGCACAGCATCATGCGCATCTGCTCCTGTGCATCACTTGAAAGTCCCACCTGCACACACGACATGTTAAGACAATGGCCCTCACAAAACAGATGCTCATCCATAAATACAGACAAACTTGTCACACAACACACAAAGACACAGATTAAATGAACTTCTGAAATTATCTGAGACAACATACAAACCATTCAATCATGTAATATTCACAACTTTGGCAAACAGCATTCAGCACTGAAAAATGGCAACGCATGCAATGCACAGGGTTTCCTATAGTGATCAAAATGACCTCAGTCAGCACCCATTCCTTATTATTATACATTGCCATAGATTGTGCTTGCACAACTAGGAAAGGCAAAATGTCAAATAGAATTTCCAATGTTGCTTGAATTTCAACTGTAATTTGTTTCCCTCAGACTTCAGCATGGCTGATACGCAGAGTTACTCACTGGCCATCTAGATTTCATTTCATGTGCATTTTAATACACAAGTATTACAAGTATGCATCTCATATGCTTTTATCACCTCTTCTCTGGCCGGAACCTAACCTGAAATCTTACTCACTGAAATCAGGTTGGACCTATAAACACTGGACCTTAATCACAGGTGCAACAATGAAATACAAGGTTTGAGGTGGGTTTTCAAGAAATATACACCCACAGAACACTGCAGATTTAGATGATCTATCATACAATAAATTCTGTACTGTACATTTCTTTTTTAAATATTTTGTCTAAACTAATACTACTTTATCTACCAGTAAAAGTGTAGTAACTGCTCCATTCATACACATCACTACCCAACACACAACAATCAGCGCAGAAAATGTGAAAAGGCAGGACAGACCCCACACGGGTATAGTTGTGAACTTACAGAGCTGCAGGAAACCCTTAAGATAGTAGCTTCGTCCTAAAACCCAGTGAGCTGCCTTGCAGTCTATTGTCTAGATAGATAGCTTTCCTAATCATCATAGAACTTCCTAAGCTGTCAATCTGAAATGCTCTTCTTAGGTAGCAACTCTGTGTGTCACACAAATAGCACCCATCACTAGGGATGCAACGATTCACTCAACTCACGATTCGATTTGATTCACGATTTTGATTTCACAATTTGATTTTCTCACGATTTTTTTTTTAACAAAATGAGATTTAAGACATTATACAGTAAATGAAAAGGTGTCGTTTTATTAGGCTATTGCTGCACGTTTCTTTGTGAAATTGAAATATAACAAAACTAAATTTAAATTTTAAAACAAACCCCAAATCAAACAAGTTATGCAAATAAAATAAATCTCTTAATATGAACAAACTAAGGCTTTGTCTGTGCTCTTTCCATTTAAAATTAGAGGCAACCACTGGATTTTAATCATGATCCAAACAAAGATGCAGCATGAGTAGTTTTTAATCTAAATTAGACTGTATAATTTTGAAATTTGAAGCAAAAACAGAATGGTCTGACTTTAGTTTTGTGAACCTGTCCTATACTACATAAAACATATCTGAACGAAACAGCAGACGAGCTGAATGAGACGCAGATTCACTCTCTGACAGCAGGTGGCGCTTATGAACAGCAATGATACAGTGTCTCCTGGGTTACCGCTGTAAACAAAGCAGAGCTGCACTTATGAACACTACTTTAATATGCATTGTTCAGAGGCAAGATGAAAAGAAAATACCAAACTTTTCTAAAGATAGTCAGTTCCCCCTCAGAGATACATTCATATAAACTCCTACTCCAATTGTATCGCGATTTGTTAGGCATCTCCACCGATTTGAATAGTCACATATTTGAATCGATTTTCAACTGGCTCGCGGTTAATCGTCACATCCCTACTCATCACATAATGGCACAGGAGACTTGCCTTAATTTTAAGTAAGGATTGGTATTAGTAAACGGCTAACCTAACAACACAATATTCTGGTTAGCATAAAAATATTTTCATCATATTGCATTCTGGGATTGCATTATCTGCAACCTAAATTTTTGGCTTTGCACTTTAGAAAAGAGAGGTATTACACACCTATGACACCTTAAAATGTGGTCTAGGTAGGCAGCTCACTAGGCTTTAGAACGGAGCTCATAAGAACATTCGAGGAACATACACATGCTGTCCAACTGACAGAGTCTTACTTTACCACTCTTGAGTGAAGATTACTCCAGAAGAAACCTTTAAACTATGAAAACGAGTTGAGCACACATAGAAAAGAGTAGGCTTATGGAGGAGATCCACAGACTGAAAGATATGGAAGACAGACAGACAAGAGAAAGGGAGAATAAAAGGGAAGGAAAGAATAATGGAAGAAAGATGGGAAAAGTTAAAAGTCAATAGGAAATAATCAGCAGAGCAGAGATGCAAAGAACATTGTGAGAGGATGTGGCAGTGAAGAAATGCATGCTAACCCGCTGCATCTCGCTCTCCAACTGCTTCTTCCTTCGGATCCTCTGCTGGTTATTCTTCAGGATGTTCTCCACATGCTGCTCCATAAAGAACTTGAAAGCCTGTGGGGAGTACATGGGAACTCTGCTTTCCCCCTTGCGCTCCTCGTCACGTTTACAACGCCGCACCGGCACGGGAGACGTCGTGATTTGTTTCTTCTCGCATTCCTCAGAGCCCTCAGCACGCTCGCTGGAGCAGGTGCTGTCAGTGTCATTGTCACTGTCGACTCCATCCTCTTCTTTGTTGCTAGGTTTTAGGCCTGGGTTGGGGTCGTACCCTGGTGGAGGCGGCTGCTGTAGCAGGTGTTTAGGATAAGGAGGGGGTGGGCCTTGGTAGCTCGGGACTTCGGGGGCAGCCGTGGGAGCAGATGGCTCTTGATAAGCAGAGGCTGGAGGGGGTGGCTGCTGCATCCAAGGTGGGAGCGTAGGGGCCACGGCGGTGTGCAGCTCTGGCTTCTGCACACGCATACTCTTTACCGGCTGCAAAATGGGGGCCTGTGTAATGGTGGTGACCGTAGTGCCGGAAGGATGAGAGCTGGGCACAGATGGGCACTGACGTCCACTGGGCTGGGCATTGGTGAAGGAGTTGGAGCGTCCCGGCACACTGTGGGGCCATGACGAAGGAACGTCCTGATTGGTGCTGTGACCGGGGGAAGTCTGAGGCTGCTGCACAGGAGGTCTGACCTGGGCTAGTACCCCAAGGTTGTACATATCAAGGTTGTGGCTATTGCGGTTGGGCACCAGCATGCTTGGGGCACTTTTGTTGGCTCCGTTTAAGTGTGCAGCAAGAGCGCTGGATTGCATCTGCTGGGCCGTGGAACTCTGTCTGCTAGTCTGGTGCATGGGATACGGAGGTGGTGGTGGCTGCCAGCCACTGCTATTAATGCCCACATACTCACTTTGTATGTTGCCATTCTGAGGCCAGGATGGAGGGAAGGTGAACTTGTTGCCCCCGGAGTTTTGCATGATGATGGGTTGCCGACCCACTGGCACTGGACTGATCCCTCGCTGTGCCTGTGACGGAGGGTTTATATAGCCATCGGGAAGGGGCCCCTGAGGCACAGGAGAGATCCGAGGCACCAGGTAATCCAAGTTCCCAGAATACCGCTTGGTTGCGGGATTGGAGTCCCATGAGGAGGGAGGAGGAGTGATGCTATGCACCTGCCGTGGGAGGGGAGGGTTCACTCGTTGACTGCTAGCTCCAGCAGCAAGATTTTGAGGAAAGGTAGCAGGCCGTGAGAGGTCGCTTTGAGGTCCAGGGCTACTGGGACGGTAAATCATGCTATCAGTCATTAGAGCACTGTGCCGCTGTGGGGCCAGAGATTCCTTTGAACCCTTCCAGCTTTGGTGCCGCAACAGTGTCTGTGGGATTTGGGATGGACCTAGAGAGGAAACATCCATATATCAACAACAGAAACCTAAGCAGAATTTTCGAAGTCCTGTAAATAATCCTGTTTATTTAGATTTTAGGTGAACTATCCCTCTAAGGAAAAAAAATAAAAATCAGCTAAAGATTTACAGGGAACCCAGTTGGTACATTACTATAATATTAAAGGTTAAAATTAAGAAGTGCAAACTATTAAATTCAATTGCTATTTCTTTTTAGATAAAATACTCAACACTCAAAGTTTTATACAAATAGGCAGTATTTATATTTAATGATATTATTATGTTTCATTTAAAATGTGGCTGTCATATAATAGTTTATGACGTCTATTTAAACATACATTAAATAAGACATTAGAAACAGGTTAAGTAAAATATAATGAATCTGTAATACTAAGCATATTTAACCAAATGCTCGTCTCTAGAGTTTTTTTGCTTTTTTTTGTAGCCAAGTAACAAAATACGGACACTGAATGGCTTTTGTGAGGTAAATGCAATATGTGACATTTGTTTTACTGATATCTCCCCAAGTTTGAAACACTGATGTGAAGTGATTACAAGATTTCAGTAAATTGCACTGTATCTTCCAACATACTTTCTGATTTTCAGTCATGTGTATTTTGGGCTACAACTAGCATTAAAGAGGAAAAGATTATCTCGTTCACCTTCAAGCACATTTTTTTGTTTCATAAAATTACTATGCATCATACTGCTCTTTTCATGAACTATCTGCTGATGTTAATGCCGATGTACTGGTGTTAGTTCTGAGTTTACGATAACACAGTATTCTCTCAACCCTCTACGCACACCTTGGCAATATAATAGCCATTGGCTAGTAAATTTTTTTGTTTACTCGCCAGACTGATATACTATTTTATTGAGCGCATCCAAATAGTACAGATCGCTTGACGGAGAGCGAAACTCTCAAGCGCTCAGTCAGCGTGTTTATCGAGTGAAAATCTGTGTTGAACGCCTCTCACACACATACTGGCGAGTAAAATCTAAGAATTTATTAGCCAATGGCTAATGTTAGATATTATTTAGTCGCCCAGAGTAAGATCTGGTCGCATTTGCGAGTGATTTACTCGCAATGTAGAGGGTTGTCTCTTCTTCAGAGGTGCTCAGTCCCCCTCCTGGAACTCTACCATAGCTAATCAACATCTATGTCCAGAATAGCATTTAATATGCAAATTTTTAGCATGCCTGGAATTAGGGCTGCACGATAAATCGAAATGGAATCGAGATCACGATTCGACAGAAGCTGCGATTGTCATGCGTATCTTTCAGTGAAGCACGGTTCTGTGATCAGCAGTAAATCTCCATCCAAAGGCCAGAGGGCGCTCTCGCTCTGAAACTCAAAATACGCCTCGCAGAAGAAACCCAGAAAATGTCTATCGCTGCAGCTGAATAAACAGAAGATTCAACTGCTTTCATTGATTCAACGTGACTAATAACCACACGACTACGGCAATATACGGTTTATCGGAGTTCTTATTATTATCATTAAAATAAAGTATATTTATAATGCAATGCCTTTATCACTGCTTAAATACTATGACATATGTTGCGTGCCTTATTCTGTGTAAGAAGCCACATCAGCTCACAGAAGGATTTATTTCAAACACTCGACTGACGTCATGAAGTGAGTTTGGAGTAAAAATATGTTATTAAATGTGGTATTTTCACATGCTTTCAGATGGAGCAGCATTTACTTCACAAAGCCGTAGTAAACTGAGAAGCTATGCAAACAGCTGTCATTATCGCGAACAATTTCTTCAATTTCATAATCGCTCAATAAAACTTTTTGCGATTTTTTTGGCGTAACTTGTCAGTGAACTACAGCTATGTGTAGTAAATTCTGCTCCATCTGAAAGCACGTGATGATGATTCCCTGCTGATTACAGAACCGGCTTTACTAACAAAATGCGCATGACAATCGCATTCGATTAATTGTGCAGCCCTACCTGGAATACCTAGATAAACTAATAAAGTTGACAGCGCACTTGACAGTTGACAGAGTACTTCATTCTACAATGCAATGCACTCAATCTTTCATTACCAGTCTGATGCATGAACCAGAAGGACAACCAGTGATGATCTTTTTCCTTTTTGATCAGACTGCCATAAGTTTTAGATAAAACAGTTTTAATAAAACATTAGATCATTGGCAAAAGAAAGAAAAAATTAATTGTTCTGAAGACAAATAAGATTTGTACACATCCACACACACCTTCAGATCTAATATGGATTCAATATTTCTAGCCATAAGGCATGCAAAAAAAACAAAAACAATTAGTTATTAAATAACTAATCCAAGTAGCCAGATGTTAAGGACGTCTCAGTGTAATTAGGCTGGATTAGACAACAACCAGACTACAAAACTATTACAGTTTGACCCCCATAATGTCTTTTTGCTACCCTAAACAATTCCAGCAATTCATAACTAAATGTGACCCTGGAGCACAAAACCAGTCTTAAGTCGCTGGGGTATATTTGTAGCAATAGCCAAAAATACATTGTATGGGTCAAAATTATTGTGATTTTTATGCCAAAAATCATTAGGATATTAAGTAAAGATCATGTTCCATGAAGATATTTTGTAAATTTCCTACTGTAAATATATTAAAACTTAATTTCTGATTAGTAATATGCATTGCTAAGAACTTCATTTGGACAACTTTAAAGACGATTTTCTCAGTATATTGATTTTCAGCTTTCAGATGATGTATAAATCTCAATTTCAAAAAATTGACCCTTATGACTGGTTTTGTGGTCCAGGGTCACAAATGTTATGCTGCTATCAAAATGAATTAATACATCAAATTACGGAAGGGGCTCTGCTACATACCTGCTTGTTTTATGGCCGTGTTGACAGGGCGTGCTGTTATCTGCTCCCTCGCAGGCTCCTGGAAGTTCATCCTACTGATGTACTCTATGGCTGCCTCCACGCTATGACTGTTCGTCTGCTTCAGAGCACGAACCACCATCTCCTGTACAAACGCACACACGTATGTATTACTACTGAGAATCAATAAAATATGTTGGCATTTAAATGCAAACAGTTAAAAACCTGCACAACAGCTGCTAATAGAGATATCCATAAGCTCACGAAAATGTTATTTGCATTTGTGCGATACTGTTTTATTATGTCATGGCTCTCTGGAAATCTTGCCACTGATTGGTCAATGGCATTCTGTGGTCTATGATATTTGTGCATTATGCACACTGCATAATTGACGGCTGTCCCAGGCAAATGATTTCCTACAGTATATAGCTGCACTAGTTTCATGTCACCTCGTATCACTGCACACGCTCTTGTCACAAAACAACATAATCTGCAAATCAATATTGTATGTCCTTCCACTTTTAGTTATTTAGCAAGCAACTATGTACAAATTGGGATAATGTACAGACAGTCGTTTCACATCGAGTCCTGATCACCCTGTCTGGATTTCTGACTATACGTTATCCTTTACAAAAATATTATTTTCTAGTACAGTCATTTATATAATAAAATGAAATGAACCGGTAAGGTTAAAATAATGTTTGGCCTGTTTGTCTGCCAAACAACCTTTATGTACATACACCACATGAAAAAAAACAAACAAAGTAATTAATCTTATTGGAAAAAAAAAAAATAAATAAAAAATATGTACATCACACCCACATTGTTAGTGTGCATTTGAGTATGACACTTTGAGCTCACTTCTCCAACCAGAGCTGGTCTGGCAACATACCATTTCTGTCATTCCTCAAATAAGCGAAATTATACAGTGACAGTAGAGAACATTCCTGGCACAAATGATTAATATGATACATTTGGGGGGGGGGGAAGAGTATACCAACTTCTCATTTCAGTATATTCAGCTCCAACCAGATTCAACAAGGTCCATTACCTCATCAAAGCCAGCATCCTGCAGCTCTTGCAGCATGTGTCTGTTGATATCTGCGCTGTTTCCACTGGAGGTAGTTTCATTAGCAAATGGCATGAGTGACCTGCGGATCTCCTGCAGTGCTCTGTGATGGTGGGGGTTCCTGGGGTTATTGCTGCGCCCTTGTTGTCTGGGATCGTCCGGTGGTCCCTTCCCGACGCTCACGTCGGTTTTGGGAGCATCTGGTGGCCGGGAGAGGTTCCGCAAGCTCTCTCGGATCTCCTGCAGCATTTGTTGACTATTGCCACTGTAGTTGCTCGCAGGGAACGTGTTGGGTCGCATTTGTCTGTATCCCTCGGGTTTCTCGCCCCTCTTCATGTAAAAACATATGTTAAGTGCCAAGGTGGTGAAGAGTCTCCTGGGTGGAAGAGTGAAACTGTCTGGATTACAATATTTCACCTGCACACTAGAGAGACGTCAGTGCATCAGTAAACATGCATGAAGGAACACAGAAGAATTGTTATAATCATCAATACAACTTCAGTTGCATGATTAAAGCTTGTAACAGCTACATGTTGATCCTCAAAAAATAATAATAATTAAGGACTATGCTTTTTTAACGGGTTTCTTCATTAGATTTGACTATGTTTTTAACTTTTTAGTGATATTGATAGTTCAAGGACATAAAACAGCATTTGGTTTTGTGGTAGGTCTAGATATGCCTTTCTAAAGCTCACTAGACCACAAATATTTAAGACTAAATGAAAAGCCCATGGACACCAGTGATTGTGAAGATCATAATAAGCTACTATAGTGATAAATACGTTATATTAATTTAGTTATGCCTACCTAGACAGGATCACAGGGCACGGCCAAAAACGCTGCATGTGCCTACGATGACCAAAAGTGTTGTCTAGGTAGGCATCTCTACAGGTTTTGAAACACAGTCGTAGTGTCCAATTGATTCAGGCACTGCTAACTCAGTTAGGCCTGAAACTGCTGAAGAGTGCAGAAGAATTGCCACATAAAGCCCTTAAAACTTTAAACATTATTCATACTGCATAATACCATATTAAAGATGATAAATCATTTATGAATCGGTACAACAGGTGACTGAGGCCTAAAGCTGAGGCGATAGCATAGTGCTACCATACTCCGTATAAAAACGAATTACATTCACTTACCGTTTAATGGTGGTGAGACATCGTGTTTGGACATGTATAGCTCCCTGCGAGCTTTTAAACCGCGAACACCTCCTCTGCTGTGTCTGACAGATACATGTATTTGCTGACGGACCGTCTGCTTCTCTTTGGTATTTACTGTTGTCTTGAGTTTACAACGGCTGTCATGCGCGTCACAAAAGCCCGGATGTTGTAAAACGCCCTCTTCGAGAGCTCCGCCCCCAGAGGTGCCTGACGAGATGAGAGGCCCTTCTGTGTGAATGCGATGGAAGAGATGCGTCAACTGCTTTTGAGTGGACACAGTTTGTTACATAATAAATGTACCTCTTACCCGTGGTTCGTGTTCAACATGTTTGCATAACATATTCATTTTAGAGAAAGCTATATTTGGAGTTCACTATGAAAAATAGATATTCTAAATGATAAATTTGTTTTTTTTGCAACAGGTGGGAATTAATTTATGCTGCTATGTGTGAGTCTCAGAGCCCCTCATCTATGGTCTGTCCTCATCCTAATGGTAGTATGCTTATTCTCAGTAAACAGTGCCATTTCTGACTGCGTGTGTGGTCCTCTTATACATTATGGGGACCAAATGTCCTCACAATGATAGTAATACCAGTCAATTTTGACTTTGTGGGGACATTTTTTGGTCCCCATGAGGAAACAAGCTTATAAATCATACAGAATGACATTTTTTGAAAATCTAAAAATGCATAAAGTTTTGTGTGAGGTGCAGAGTTAGGGTAAGGGGATAGAAAATACAGTTTGTACAGTATAAAAACCATTACCCCTATGGAATGTCCCCATAAAACATGGAAACCCAACGTGTGTGTGTGTGTGTGCATGTTTATGTGATTTACGAGGACACAAATTTGTATAATAACATGGGTATTACAATGTGAAGGTGGTTTATGAGGACATTTCCTGTGTCCCCAAAATTCAAAAGGCTTAAAAACATACTAAATGGTGTTTTTTTTAATCTAAAAATGCGTAAAGTTTTCTGTGAGGGGTAGGTTTAGGTGTAGGGTTGATGTAGGTAAAGTTTGTACAGTATAAAAACCATTACGCCTATGGAGATTCCCCGTAAACCATAAAAACCAACATGGGTGTGTGTGTGTGTTTATTTTGTCACTTCAATTCAAAAGGTTATCAAATTTAAATACTTTTCTTAGATGCAGGCCCAAACACTATCAGAACTGTAAGGCACCCAAATACTATTTTCATATTATTGCTCAATAAATACGGTATTTTCAATAGCCTATTCAAGATTTTTGAAAGGTTCCTAAATATGTAGTCACAACATTGTAATGTAACACTACTCGTTCATCAATAATATTGTGGTAATTTTTGGTGTTCCTCGAGTGTTTCTAATACAACAGCTGTGGCAGTGACTGTAAATTTGACATAATTTTCTCTTCTGACTGCTGTTATCAATCTCTCTCTATTTTTCCTCTTTTTGAAATTCGTGAAACACTATTGTGAAGTTTTTCTATTGCTATTTGAGCAAAGGGGAACACACAAAAAAATATATATTTGATGTAGTCTCCTGTTCACTGTTATAGTTTACCCAACTTCTGAGAAACTTCCACTTCTGAGAACCCCAGAAATATGAAAAACGGTCCATTAGAAGACTAAGCACAGTGTTCCCCTCAGTTAAGGTGTTTACATGAAGGTTTTTCAGTCCGATTGAGCCGTCAATCCGATTACAAACGTATTATTTGGTTGCATGTAAACGTAGCCACTGTGTTTAATTGCGAGTGGTGTGTGTGTGTGTGCATCATTTAAAGCAGCGCATTAATACAGAACGGTGATTAAACTGACTTGGAACTACCTGTGCATTAAACTGTTTTAATGTATACCTGCCAGCCAATCAGAATCGAGTATGCAGACAGACCATGGAATAATAGCAACATAATAACCTCCCGCTCATCCGGCTATGTGACGGCAATGCTACTTTCATGCCTCATATCACCACATACCCACTGTTGTTTCATTCATAAGCAGTTCCTGCCATATTGCTTCTCTTTTTAGCCGCTTGCTAGTAACGTTTGAGTCCTGATCATCCAGTCAGGGTTTATTTTGTGATAAACCAGGATGTACATTATCCCCTAAATAGTCAACATTTTTATAGACCTTGGCTGTTTACATTCAGCATATGTAATCACTCAATCAAGATTTGCTATGTAGTATATAATGCTTTATGTGAGTATATTGTATGTACAGTATGTGAGTAAAGTTGGCTATACTTTTATAGCGACAATTTGGAGTTGAATCATTTTGCGGTTTTGCTCAATTCATCATAATTTGATTTAGTGGCAAGCCTAATTACTTGTAGCTGATGTGTATCACTACAAATTAAATGACTCCTTAAGAGAGAACATAATTGTGACCAGGACTCCTTGCTGCAGGGAGTGGAGCTTCCCCGGCAGGTCAGTTTGGCAAAGAAATCACTGCCAAAGGCTAGAAAGCTCCTATCTGCATCTGTGGAACATGAACACCCTTTCAATGAGTTCCAGGAGCCTGAAAATTGAGAACGTGAGGCAGTAATTTGCCAACGTAAATGTGTATGAACTGGGGCTGCGGTGACTTCCACTGCACACACAGACACTGGGGTAACGTTGGTCGTCCTTTCCACCTGGGCATCATCCATCAGCTCCACCACTGCTGTCTCAGAACCAACAATGTGCATGGAGGCTGTGTAAAACAGTTCTTGTGGATCAGAAGCCACCAAAGATGCATCAAACAAAAGAAGGTTACCACTATCAGTGCAAATCATGTGGTCAGTCAGAGAGCTAACTGGCCATACTGGGGTTAAGAGTAAATAAAAAAAATAAAAATGATCTCAATATTTACTCACTCTCATGCCGTTCCAGATGTATAAGATTCTTTTTTTCAGATGAAAGATTTTTAATCCATCATTGTGGGTCCATATAATGCAAATGGGTCCCTCAAAAATTGATGCTTCAAAAACCACAAAAGTGAAACCATAGGTGTGTGTGAGAAAAACATCCATTTTTAAACTATAAACCATCGCTTTTGGCCAACTGTCATATGTTCATGAGCTCACACTTAACGTAAATGTCAGCATGCTTTGAAGCGTGATGAAAACGTATTGTGAGACATGATCTGTGATTCTGTCACTGTGTTACACAACATGCTTATATCACACTTTATGTCAAGCTTGATCTCACATATGAATGCACATATGACAGCATGTGTGGTTTTATGGTTAATTTGTATTTTTCTCACACACATTGTTTCACTTCCGATGATGTTGATATATCACATTGCAAAAGGTGGTCAAATTTAGTCTCTTGTAAACTTCACTCTGGTAAACTCTACAGTTTTTTATGAATGGGTCACTGAATTATTGACTCACCTGATTAATTTGTTCAACCATCGTAGCTACGCGAAGCCTATGCAAGTAAATATTGGCTTTGACAAAACACCACTTATAGGTCAATTAACTCTGAAAGAAGTATGATAAGCTTTTATTATGGTCCCCGTCACTGTATCCAAAACTCGCAGAGTACTTCAACAAAACTTATATCACACAGAAAGGCTGTACACATTGCCATTTTAATGACTTGATCATTCTTGTGTAGCTTCAACCAACTGTACAAAGACGTTTAGTTTATAAAAATATTCCAAGCCTTCTCTTTCATACATGTCTGGGGTAAGTAATCAAACAGGAACTTGTCTGTGGACGTACACGGCCTCTCCATCAGTCCCACACACTAAACACTGCTCAAGCACATCGAGGCTGTTGACAGACAGTGTCTGGCTGGGCAGCCACTGGTACTACTGGGATAAGAGACAGAAAAATATGAACAAAAACTTGAGTGCACCTTTAGAAAACAAAAGCTTGGCTCAACAAAACCTTAAAAAAAAAAAAAGTTTGAAGTCTGACAGCATGGCCCTGTTTCCACTCATCCATGTATTAAGATGCAAGTAGTTAGCCGAGCATCTCAAATGCATCTCCTTTGATCACTTGTGATGAGATTTCACCAAGAAAAATTAGGAAGGAGGCAAATGAAAATGGATAAAGAGGGCAGCAGAAATTTTTTCTTACTGTACTATAAATCCTGGCTTTGGTTTAAGACACATAGGCCACGTGCACACTGTAAAGTTTCATGAGTGACAACTGCATTTAAATACGGGAGTGAATCCCCTAAATTATAGTTTTGTGTGTGTACGAAACAGAACTCACTCTCAAAATTGTGATGACTGTGAAACCTGTTATTTTTGCAGATTTTGACTAAACCGCCGTCAACAGAGTGGTCGTGTTTCATTTATGTTTGGAAGATTACGTACAGAACTGCGGAAGTTTGTCCACTTATTATAAGCGACGCTTATTACGTCTCTTGGGGTTCATAAAGCGATGCAGTTTATGCAGTTAATGGCAGGTGCAGGTCACAATATTTTGGTTTGTGGCTTATTTCCAAGATAACACACGCTGGGATTTATATTTATTATGGGCTTATTCTTATTTGCCATTTCTTTATAGCAAGATCCGGCAACAAAAATAAGTAAAAACATACAGTGCTGCTTGAAAGTTTGTGAACCCTTTACAATTTTCTATATTTCTGCATAAATATGACCCAATTCATCATCAGATGTCCTGAAAGTAGACAAAGAGAACCCAATCAAACAAATTAGATAAAAATATTTTCTTTGTCATTTATTTACTGAGATAAATGACCCAGTGTT